AGTATTAGTCAATCAAAGGAAAAAGTATAGCCACATTCAACATTTTTAAAACATTTTCCTTTAGCCATTGTAAAAATCTTTATGTATGATACTTCCATAAAAGAGTTTTTTTGCGCATCTGACATATGTAGCTTAGAGTTCTTCCAAATGTAACATGCTTTCGTAGAAGGTAGTACTATCAAAATGCACTAACAGTATAAAATAGAAATATTAATATGTAAGAAGCAGCTGCACTTACTCAATCTATGGATCCATATATGTTGTATTCATTAGAATGTAGCGATGTGTTATGCCATGCTCTTTGTCTGTAAGAATAACTTATATAGCTTCATTCGATGGACGGCCTTCAAGCAGCAGTTGATCTGCTTCAATATCTTCATTGTGGTTTACTGCTTCTTAGACTGATAAAGATTTGTGTGGAAACTCTAAGCAGAAGGCAATGCATTCCCCTGCTAAGTATTCCTCAGTCATACACGCTTCTGGCTTTGCAAAGTTCTTTACATATGCCTTGATTGTTTTCATGTGCCTACAGCTCATTTAGAAAAATTATTTATAAATTTTGGAACATCAAAATATTATATTCAAGTATTTATGACACTAAAAATACTTCTCAAAGGGATACATCCACCGGAAGTGTACAGGACCGCCTAAGCGAGCTTCCCTTGCTAGATGTATAGGAAGATGGAACATTATATCAAAAAGTAAAGGAAGAAAATATCTCTCACGTTGGCACATCATCTCTATAACCTCTGACTCCAAAGATACCAGCTTCTCTAGATCAAGGACACACTGGCATAATCTGTTGAAGTAGTTGCATAGTTGATTCACTGCAACTCTAGGTCCTTTCGGCAGTAAGCCTCTTAATGCCACATGAAACATATTTTGTATAAGTACATGATGATCATGTGACTTCATACTACCTATAACAGGAGGATCCATTAAAACATAATTGTCAATAATCACACAATAGCATTTAGGACCTCCGAATCTAGATAACCTTCTACAAAATCTACGTTTTTCTTTCTTGGACAGCCAATAAGTAGCTGGAGGCAAATATGTTCTCTTCCCACGTACCTTTGTGTGAAAATTACTTCAAATTCACATGTCTTGTAAATCTTTTCATGCTTTCATGCCATCATTTGATTTACAATGAATAGACAATAGTGCATGAGACACATGCTTCTCCATGTGCATGACATCAATGTTCTGAAGCACAAGCATATCCTAACACGTGATACATCATACATTAGAAACAAAATTTTGTATGTTTCTATTAGTATTTCATATACAAACGCTATCTGAAAAAACTATCAACCTTCCAATAAGGTAAGTCGAAAAAGATAGATCTCGTTCCCCACCTCCACAAATCATTATCTTCTTTATATTCTTCTTGTGGAATCACCTCATCTTCACTTCCATCTGTTTTTCTTCTCTTCTTTTTCTTATCTAAAGGTGTTCCAAAATCATTTTCTAAAGTCCTTGACACTCTCAAATATCTCTGATCCACTATGTTTTATATTAGCAGTCCCAGCCTCTTCAGCATTGTCAAACCATCCTTTTCTACGTCTATATGGATGACCAGGCCTGAGACACTTCCTATTGCCCAGATACACATTCTTATGACTAAACATTAACCACCTCTAGGGTGTTTCCTTACCACAAACATTACAAGCTTGTTTTCCTTGCGCTTTACATCTAGCCAATGTCCCTAAGGCAGGATAGTCTGTGATAATCCACAACAACAAAGCTTTCAGAGTGAAAATCTCTTTCAAGAACGAGTCATAAAATTCCATACCTTCATTCCACAAATGCTTCAGATCATCTATCAATGGTTGTAGATAAATATCATTGGTGTTGCTTGGTGCAATTGGTCCATGGATCAACATTGTCAATATGATATTCTCGGCCTTCATTTACTTAGTTGGCGTCATAATGTAGTTGACTAACAACAAAGGCCAGGTACTATACTTTGGGTTATGTATAGAGAATGGATTCATCTCATCAATAGACAGGCCGAGTCTGAGGTTTCTTCCTTCAACAGTAAACTCTGGCCATTTATCATTGACTTGAACCCAAGTTCATGAGTCAACAGGATGTCGCATTATACCATCTACACTCGCATTATTCAAATGCCAACGCAAATCTTTTACCAGCCGTTTTGATCTAAATATTCTTCAATATGTCTTTGATAAGATAAAACCTAAAAGCCTTTGCTGGAATCCTTTTTTTCTCCTCACCAGTGTGCTTATCTTTTTTCCATCTTGAATCACCACATCTTGGTCAGCTTACCATCTCTTCGTACTGATTCCAATAAAGAATGCAATCATTCTTGCAGGCATAAATAACCTCATTAGCAAACGAAAAATCTTAAATTTCTTCATCTCATATGTGGACTTTGGAAGCACATTGTCTCCAGATAGCATGTCATGAACTAGCGTAAAAAGCTGATCAAAATCGTTCTCAGACCATGATTGCAGAAACCTTAGTGTAGTTACGACACGTCGAGTAGAGTGGATTTTCAGCATCCTCGAATTTTTTCCTAAATGCTGAATCTTCTTCACAGTAAACATACTCATACTGATCTCCATTCTAATTCTGAGATGGTTGATTCCCTTAATTCAAAAAAAAAAGCTGTCCTAAACAAGTCGCAAGCCACAGTTTCAGACATTTGAACAGCTGTCGTCTTATCAAGCATTATGTCCCCATGTTTACTCCAATATTGATTTATCTTGTATTTCTGATCCATCTCTCGAATCACCAGATGATCCAATATTGTTTCAATCGATTGATAGCAAACATTGCGGCAATGAATAACATGTATGTAAGATTACCCAACCTCATTGAGGAATCATGAACAAACTTAGTTGCTCCTTGTTCATACTCAAGACTAGCCATGTATTTTAATAAAAGTTGAAAACTCAATTTCATAATCTCCAATTTTGTAGTTAAAAATTCAAAGAAGATTTGTAAGAACTAACAAGTTCATACATTGGCAACCAAACCCAAGATTTATCCATGTTAGAATATCTCCGTCCAAATGTGCATACAAGTAGTTATCCTAGACAAGCATTAAACCATATAACCAATACAGGACGTAGATCTGAAGCGATAATCAGAAGTGAGTAGGATACATGTCGGAGTTTGCTCTACCTTGCTGAGATCGTACTATAAAAAGAGGTATAAATCGATTAAACTGAGATAATCTTACACTCAAATCTAGCCATTTGAAACACTAACACATATGTATACCTTTAAATAGAGCAATGAATCTTGCTCTAAATCTTCCTGCAAAATAATAAACCAATGAAAGTTGAATCGATTCAACAAGCCAGAACCCTTAATCAATACAAAATAAGACATGCACACGATTTCACCTTCGCTATGGCATTGACACAGGATTCCTTCAGGAACGGGGTGGAGGAGTATGATTGTTGAGAAATTACTCTATTTGTGTACAAGAGTAAAATAGGCGTCTCTCTTCAGAATCGAGCTTAAGGAGAAGATCGAAAACAGCTCGATTGCTGGGTTTTTCGTTCAAGAGAGTGAGATTGTAGAAGTCCATGAGAATCGAATAAAACGGAGCAAAAAAAGAGCATACGAAAAGATAGATGAGTAATTGCTGGGATTTCGGTAAGAGCGGCTCAGATTATGCGGAGATTGTGAGAATCGAGTAAAAGAGTGAGAATGGTTAAGATTAAGACCTAGAGGAAGAACAAGAAAAGTTAGGTCAAGTAATTGGAGAATTTCTATTTTGGAGCCCAATTGTTTTACAAGTCTAAATTTTATTAAGTGTCACAGAAATGAATTTTTTTCTTTTTCTGCCTGACACAATCATAACGTTTATGATGAACTATCGGCTGTTACAGATAATTTTATAAGATAAAAATCAGGTGTGAAAGTTTATTTATTATTCAGACAATATATCTTAGTGTTTATAAATAAACAACCGCTATAAAAATATATGGGGTAATCTAACCATAGCACTATTACAACAAACGTTATATTATAGTGCTATCAAAACTCAATATTCTTATAGTGATTTGGAGTTCAAGAGTTATTCAACTCTCTCTCTTTTACTTTTTTAGGTTTAAAATCAACTACGACCTAGGTTGCATGGAAACTCCATCCGAGGTACGTTTCCCGTTTCCGAAATGTTTTGGAAACCGAAACTTTCGAAAACTCGTGGGAAACACGAAAAATCACGTTTCTTAAAAATTCTAATTTGGAAACACTTTGGAAACGCGTTTCTATTTTAGAAACACGCGTTTCTATTTTGAAAAGAAGATAAAAATTAATTTCTTGTTTTTATAAAACAAATAAATAATTATAAAAATTAAATTAAATAATCAATTTACTTATTTATAATAAATAATAAATATTTTGATTTGGTAATTAAGATTAATTTTGAGATTACTAAGTTTGAAAATTATTCTCTCGATGAATTAGAATTAGAGATAGATTGGTTAATGAAACTAATAAAATTGATAATAAAGAAAATCTTCTAAATTTTTGACTTTACATATTTTAAATTTTATAGTTTAATAATTATGTAAAAATTATATATTAGATTTTGTTGATTAAATATTTTACTTATAATTAGATTTTTAATACTTAATATATATATACATATATACGTTTCCAAAATGTTTCCATTTCTATTTTTTTTTTAAATAGCGTTTCCGCATTTTGAAACGTTCCGCTTCCACGTACCCGTTTCCGTTTCCGTGCAACATAGACTACGACTTGGCTTTTCAAGCCTCTTTCTTTCCTTTATACTATGGGGAATGAGTAGTGCTTGGATTGTCGTAAAACATGTCGTCGAAGGCCTGAAATTACTCAACAAAGAAGCTAAGAGAGCCTTTAGAATAATTGGAAAGAGATTTTCCTTCTAAAGGTTCTCTGATACTATAAATAGAAACGCTTCATTGGGAACAAATACTAAAAAAAGTAGGATTTAGTAAGGTTAAGAAATAGAAAATCACATCCAGAGATCGTGGTTAGTGTAACCACCGGATTTGAGCACGCTGAGGTCGCATTACCTATGTTCTAAGAAGGACCTATGATTTGATCAAAGGAGAAAGCCCTACATCAAATTTTCAATCTAGCTCTGGAAGATCTGATGGTGACGATTTCCCCAAACAGCATGCACAAATCGGTCAAAACGCCCACATCCGCGCAAACGATCATGTCCCGGAAGGAACAACTTGTGGAACCAGCAGTGTATGTCAACATCCAGCCCACGCTTGGGCCAAAGCAGGGTATGCTATCTTTCTTGGTAGGTCAATGGATCCAAATTACCATGATAGCTGAGGTAATTTCATCAGAGATGACAGATACCGGCGACACAAGTCAAGTTCCTGATAAAGGACATCTAGAGCTTGAAGTAGAATTTGCAGTCGATGATAAGAGGTCTAAAAAAACTCCTTCGGCATTATTTCTAGCACACGTCAAAACAATCAAAAGTGGGGAAGCGACACCATAGCATCAGGTGAAACCAGTTCCACCCTTCATCACCAAAACGGACCATTCATGCGTAAAACAAAGGTATATTCCATTTCAATTATACATGCAGGTACAAATGCAAACCTGACCGGTTTTGGTTAATTCAGCACGTACAAAAACCAAAGAATAAAGGGACAAGACGATGCTACTTAACTTAGTTCATGTTTTGAGTTATTTCCTTTTATTTTATATTTTCAAAACATTAGTATTTTTCTTTTATTTTCTTCTTTGTTTAGGCACAATTATTAATTTTCTTTTTCATTTAAATTTCTTAGCACTAAAAAGTTATGCCGCTGAACTGTTTATAAAGCTCCTTTCGACTTTTGATCTCTTCACAACTTTTTACCTAATCAATAAACAAGGCAGTTTTTTTTTTTACAGACGTCGCTTGCTTAAAAAAAAACTTTTTTCTCATGTTCTTGTGTGTTGATTCACATAAGGTTCGAGTGTTTACTGTATAACTGAATCCCACAGCCTCTATGGGGGGCATTGATCCCCCATCACTTATCATTCACCGATCCAATGTGAGAGAGTCTAAGGCCAGCACATTCAGTCTCATACTTATAAGATCCGGTCAGTTCGAGTCTTATACCATTTGATATTAGAGCCAAAAGGTTTATATATCAGGTGATATCGCTCACATACCTTTCGGTTTGTCTCATCTTAGTATTCTTAAGAAAAATCGCATAAAAAATTGTTTGTTTGCTTCCGTTTATTTTGGTTTAATTAGATTTATAAAAAAAACCATAAAAGGAAAAATTGTTTGTTGTGTTATACTTGTTCAATACGTCTTAGTCAATTGGTTTCCTTTTACTTTGTTTATTGAATCGAATTGTTTGTCTTTCTACTTGTTTTGCTTGTTTAGATCCATCAAGAAAAATCCCCAGTTAAATAGTTTCTCTTTGCTTTAGTTTGATCTCATGCTTTATTTTTTTGTTTGATCAAACTGAAAAATCTAAAAAGAATCTGTTTTATTGAGTATTGCCAACCACACGCCCCGATGATCAACTAACCGACCGAATTGCTCACATCTTTCATCTCGCCCTATCTCTTCATACGTTGGGCAATGGACAGTGTGGGACCAGCCCTGTCTTCTCGCCAAAGGAAAGACATGCTCATCATGATGGACAATTTCACGAAGTTTGTGGAAGCTAAGTCGTTTGTCTGGATTCAAGAAAAAGGGGTCCAAAACTTTGTCTGGAAGTACATCGTATGCCACCAAGGGCTATCTTAAGAAATAGTGACGAACAACAATTCTCAGTTCATCTCCAACCGGTTTGAAGGATTCTGCCAGTTATGAAAAATTTGGCTAAGTATATCAACTATGCACTACACTTAAGGAAATAAAATAAAAGAAGCCACTAACAAAACCATCATCGATGGAATCAGGAAACGACTTGGCACAAAAAAGATATTTTGGGCCGAAGAACTTGACGGTGTACTCTGGTCATACCGCACAACACCTCGGGCTACTACTAGAAAAACTCCATTCTCTGTGGCATACGGTTGTGAAGCCATGGTTCTCCCAGAAGCAAACATTCCAAGTTTCCGCCAAATTCTTGCTCCGGAGAATCCCACACTCAACGAGGCAATGCTGATTGAAAACCTCGACACTTTGGAAGAAGCATGTGATGAAGCTTTACTATAACAATTAAGTGAAAAACAGGCACTTTGAGGAGCAAGACCTCATCCTCTGAAAGGTGTACAAAAACACTATAGAATTGGGATGAACCTTACATCATCAAGCGAGTCATAAAGTTTGGCGTTTATTGAGTCGAGATAACAGCCGGCGATGAAGTCCTGTGCTCCTGGAACTCAATGAACCTCAAACATTACTTCTGTTAGCCAGGCGTCCAACCGCATCAGCATCCGCTCATGGGTGCATTGAAGTCGGAAACTCCTCATCGTTTCAAAACCCTGAAGCTCATTCGCCTCTACTTCAGAACTCTCCAGTGTCACCACTGCAGATCTCAAGCGTCTCCACTTTAGAACTCTTAAGCTTAGAGTATTCCGTCTTCTGAAGCTAACAACTTCAATGGTGAAGACGATGGAAGAGCTCCAGTTGAGCTGGTTCTCCAGGAAGACTTCATCTATGTGCTGAATGCTCTCCTTCTAGTGCTAGGCCGTTAAAACTTCACCACTATTCTATCCCCCACACCAAAGCCAAATACTACTTGGTATGACTCTTTAACTCTTTAACTTGTTAGTTTACAAGTTTTCTTTAAGTGTAGAACTGTTATGATTTCTTGGTAGAATCTAAGTTTTTTGTGGGTAACTAGGTAGAATCTGAATTATGTTTACTTGTTATCTGTGCTTCTAGTTGCTTGAGAGTGAGCGCTGTTTCTCTGCTTCTTTGTTTAGGTTCCATAACTTTGCTTCTGAAAATGATTCTATGTTTGCTTCTGAAAATTATTCTTTGTTCACTCCTTTCTTGATTTGTTTTTGTTATTTTATTTGTTTGCTTCTAATTCTCTGGTTTCTTTCTGTGTTTTCTTTTTGTGTAAGTTTGGTGGCGACAAGGGAGCACTTGTCCGAAAGATTATAAAAGTCTTTACAAACAAATTCGATGGTCTCTATTATAGCTGGACAGTTGTGTCTCGCGATAGACAAGAACAATACTTCATGCAATTCGCGGTAAAGGATTTCCTATATACATATGTTTGATTGTATTGTTTTCACTAACCTCTAACCTTACTAACATCAATCTCATGTCTTTGATCTGTAGAAAACACACACCTTGGATCCCTTATTGTCAAGGACAGTTCAAGAGCAATTCGAGAAGATATGTCAACGACAGATGAAAGACATGGTCAGCACCATGCATACTTCTCGAATACGGCCTAGTTGGATTAAGCCGGCACTCTGGACAGATATGACCACCTTCTAGGACACAGAAGAAGCAAAAGATAGGAGCAGTACAACATCTACAGCTCATAAGTCTGATAGTAATGGTCGTGGTCCTCACATACACTTATCAGGCCAGAAGTTCTATGGACAAATCCAACAAGAAATGGTAAGTTAGAGTTATATATCTACTATATTTACTATAAATCTAACCTCTGCAACTTTTATAGTTTGTTCATCATGTAACATTTCAGAAAGAGGAGTTGGGAAGACCGGTGAGTATTTGGTAAAGTTTTTATAAGGACGCATACAACACCAGATGGGACGCTTGTCGATGTAAAGGCCAAGAACATTGTTGAAGCTTATATGATGAAGTTGTCCGAGCTCAAGGCACATACTTCAGAAACCGTGGATGGTGATCCTACACTTACAGAGCTCTCTATAAATGACTAGAACGAGCTATTTCTTTAGGTAAAGTCACTTTCTTCACTAGCTGGTTTTATTTTGCATACTCTGTCGTAATGTTTTGATGTTATGATGTTTGACTTTGAGTTTTGTTGCAATTGATGAATGGTTTTTCTATATGATGCGAGTTATGATTTTATTGTATTCATTTGATGTTTGAGATTGGCTATAATGCTTTCTAATGGCAGTGCACATTCAGGGATGACAGAGGACGCCCTTATGGACTAGGAAGTCTGAAAAATACTCTTGTCAAACGCAAGCGTAAGTACTCGGGGACCTGTTCTTCAACGTTTGTCACTGCAACAACAATTACAAGAAGTTCAACGTCAAATAGAGGAACATGCTGCTTATATTGCACGGCGTGATGAAGAGATTGCTGCTCGTGAAGCTGAGATTTCCTGAGTTGCGGATGAACAACAAAAAAGCTAGAGCACTGGTAATTGGTGGAGAAATATTTGTGTGCAATTGATCCGGCTGGTGTAGACTTCATAGATTCTCAACTGGCTCAATCAACTCCACTTCCAACCTGACACACAACACTGTAACATCTCCCTCTTTGCTTAACTCTTAATATGTGTCCTTGTAGATAAGACTTAATTTATGTATTTTTTGTTAACTCCACTGGTAGAATTTTGCTTTGTATACATACAATTAAAATAGTAATTACGAGTTTTTGAATTTATATTATATATATATATATATGTTAATTATAAGGTTCTATGTATTTTGATTTCAACAAGTTTAATTTACATTGTTAAATCGTAAATCTGAGAATACAAAAACCATGACTCATTTTCATGATAAAAAGAGTCGGTAATCAGTCGAATAATAGTCACACAATAGTTACAATGTAGTCAGCTATCCAATCGTAAATTTGATATTGATACCGTTTTACAAAGTCAACACTTTTTATCAGTCGCGAATTAGTCGTAAAAAAATAGTTGTAACGTTTTACGACTATGTTCCGTAAGTGCACAACAACCATGTTGACAAAACGTAAATTAGATGCAAATTAGTCGTAACTTTGCAACTAATGTACGACTAGATAATTTTACGATGAAGAATTAATGCCTTCTCACCTTAGTCGCAAGTCACACAAACCTTAAATGACTGCTTCCTTGTAGTGTTACAATCTTCTTTCATTGGTCACCAATTCATAGCCGAAGAATATATGCATCATAGAGCAAGCAACGAAATAACCCATGTTTAGCTAAGATAACAAAACGAATCATCCCCAACTTAGACTGCAGAATTGTGATATCGTTAAATGTTTTGTCAAACCGTAATATTTAGCTAGATAATTTGTATTCACTAGGTGAGTACCTATCTGGTATATATAATATATCGATGTATATATATATATATATACGCTAGTGTTTTTAATGTTTAGAATGTCATGCGTACATCATAAACAATTTAATGGTATCTTACATTCTTATGTAACAATATGTTGATGAAAGTTACTATAACCTTTTTGATCATTATCTTTATTTATCTATTTTAAGAGATAATTAGATTAAGAGCAAGTGTGGTTACTATGTTATGTACATTTTAAGTTTAATAGAATAAACTAAATGGCTACAAGCAGAGGAGAGAGTAGAAGACAAGAGGTATGAAGGCGTTGTCTAGCTGCGCCGTGTAAGCTTCCAACATCCCGGTGGCTGTAACTGCGACAAGAAGCGACCACCATCCTTAGCTTAGTATATAACCCATTGATGCTAATACCGGAACCAGCACAAAGCACACGACCATCGCCGATGTTATTCCCGCTGCTGTTCCTTCTACCGTTTTTTCTGTTCCACACTTGGCAATATTAGTTTCCGAGAGAAATTTTTAGATTAGTGATAAAAGATGCTCACTTCCTGTCTTGCTCCACCTTAACTATTGAGATATCTTGTAATTACTCTGTTATCTTGTCAATCACCACTGATTGAGATCACTGATTTAGGCTTGATTAGCACACGTAATTAGGATCGCTTATCATAGGAAAGTAGATACTCTTATTTACGTTTCCTTGTGTATAAAGATGTAAGCTTTTCCCTTTGTGAATATACAGAAAATCTCTCGATCCCTTCTTCTTCCTTCTCTGTTTTCATGGTATCAGAGCCTGAAATTTCTTCTTACTGAAATCAATTTTTTTCTTTTTTTTCTTTCATTTTTTAACATCAATGGCTGCAACAAACGGAACTGAACCGACCCTGATCCCGACGACAATGAAGGTTAGGAGAACGATCTCTCCTTACGACTTGACGGCAGCGGACAATCCTGGCGCTGTAATCTCTCATCCATTGTTGAAGGGCACCAACTATGATGAATGGGCTTGTGCAATGAAGACTGCGTTGTTTTCCCGAAAAAAATTTGGGTTCCTCGACGGCACAATTCCACGACCAGCAGAAGGATCACCTGATTTGGAGGATTGGTGGACTATCAATGCGCTTCTCGTTTCCTGGTTGAAGATGACCATTGACCCCATGTTGCGCTCGAATATCTCACACAAAGATGTTGCGAAAGATTTGTGGGATCATCTCAAAAAGAGGTTTTCCGTCACCAACGGACCTCGGATCCAGAAAATCAAAGCCGAGCTAGCTTGTTGCAAACAGAGAGGACTCGCTATCGAAAGTTATTTTGGCAAGCTCAACAAAATTTGGGATAGCATGGCAAGCTATCGACCTTTGCGTGTATGTAAATGCGGAAAATGTAAATGCGACATTGGAGCCATTCAGGAGCAGGATCGTGAGGATGACAAGGTGCATCAATTCCTTTACGGACTTGATGATACTCTCTATCGCACTGTTCGTTCCAGCCTGGTCTCTCGCTCACCTATCCAACCACTTGAGGAAGTTTACAACATTGTTCGTCAAGAAGAGGATTTGCGCAGCGCATCTCGAATCGATGAAGAAAAATCTGACACCACTGCTTTTGCCGTCCAGACAAAGCAGCGAACATGGGTGGAAGACAAGGAAAAAGGTCTGTTGTGTCGCCATTGTCATCGTGGTGGACATACATCAGATAGCTGCTATGCTGTCATTGGATATCCCGAGTGGAGGGGCGAACGTCTGAGAACCAGAACGATGCAAGGACGAGATCGAGGAGGGGCATCTTCATCTGGTTCAGGAGCTGGACATGGCAGAAGCACTGTCACCTACGCCAATGTCGTTCATATTCCTGCTGTGAGAAACCCCGAGCATGCAAATCATGTCATCATGAATAATGATCGCGATGGTGTAACAGGACTAAGTGAGGAGTAGTGGCAGTTGATAATGGCACTCCTAAACGCTGGCAAAAACAAAAACTCATCTGAAAAACTATCAGGTATTAAATCTCCACCTCTTTGGATATTGGACATTGGCGCATCACATCATCTCACTGGGAGATATGATGTCTTGCAAGATGTGAGAGAAATTGCTCCGGTTATAATTATATTGGCTGATGGTCGTCAACGGATCTCTAATAAAGAAGGCACTGTGTATCTTGGGTCCACTCTTGTTTTGCGATCTGTTTTCTTTGTTGAGGAATTGCAATCAGATTTGATCTCCGTAGAACAACTAATGGACGAGAATCACTGTGTAGTTCAGTTAGCTGATCACTATCTTATTGTTCAGGACCGTGCTACGAGGACGGTGATTGGAGCAGGTAGACATGGTGGCGGAACTTTTCATTTTTGTAGCTTGGAAACCGTCGGAGCTGTTACAGTTAGAGATGCAGAATCTTATCAACTGTGGCATAGTCGAATGGGTCACCCATCTGCGGGAATAGTTGGTTTACTCCCTAATGTTTCAGTTTCTATTGCTTCTGATTTTAAGAATAAAGCTTGCGACCTTTGTATCCGCGCAAAGCAAACAAGAGTTTCCTTTCCTCTAAGTATGATTAAAACTACAAGAGTTTTTGAACTTATTCATTGTGATCTATGGGGTCTGTATCGAACTCCATCATCTTCAGGAGCACGTTATTTTTTGACAATTGTCGACGACTACTCTTGAGGAGTCTAGGTTTTTCTCTTGAATAATAAAACGGAAGCACCGACTCAACTTAAAAATTTCATGGCCATGACAACCCGTCAGTTCAAACAAGAAGTTAAAACCATACGCAGTGACAACGGTTCCGAGTTTGTTTGCCTCTCACAGTTCTTTCAAACTCACGGAATCATCCATGAAACATCATGTGTCGCCACACCACAGCAAAACAGACGGGTTGAGCGGAAGCATCGTCACATTTTGAAAGTGGCAAGGGCATTGAGATTTCAAGCAAATCTGCCAATTGAATTCTGGGGAGAGTGTGTGCTCACCGCCGGTTACTTAATCAATAGAACTCCAAGCAAAGTGATCGGAGGTATCACACCCTATGAACGGATATACGGTCATCCTCCTTCTTACGATCATCTTAAAGTGTTTGGGACACTTTGTTACGCTCACGATCAAAGGCACAAGGGTGATAAATTCGCATCAAAGAGTCGAAAATGCGTCTTCATGGGTTACCCGTACGGTAAAAAGGCTTGGAGGGTTTATGATTTAGAAGAGCAAACTTTTTTCGTATCCAGAGATGTCGTGTTTTGTGAAACCGAATTCCATTCACAAAACAAGATTTGACAGAGGAAGAAGAATCAGATCAAGCGTTGTGGGTACCTACGGGGAATTTCCAGTATCTTGTCGACGAAGATCAAAGATGTTCAGTTGGGCCTCCCATTATCCCTAATCCAATTAGCTCATCTCCTGCACAAAGTCTAATTGGGCCCATCACTAATTCAGAAGCCCATTTGTCTTCTGATATTGGGTCTACTTCTGATATTGGGTCTACTTCTGCAGACGAGAATTCACCTTTAGCCCAACAAGAATGTGAATCATCTCCTCCTGTCTCCGTCGACGAACCTGAATCACCGACACCTCCTCAAGAAACAGCCATCGACCCTTTGGCCGACGTATTAGGACGTGGTCACCGAAATAAAACTAACTCTGTGAAACTCCGAGGCTTTGTTACTAACAACGTCATCAGTCAAGTTTTACAGAAATCCAAAGGCTCCTCTGCATATCCGATTCAGAATTATGTTGACTGTAATCGCTTCTCAGTCACACATCGAGCGTTTATGGTTGCTATCTCCGACACAATTGAGCCAACAACCTATAAACAAGCTGTACAAGATGAACGCTGGAGGTGTGTTATGGGTTTGGAAATTGATGCACTTGAGCTCAATCGCACATGGACCATTGAAGATTTATCCAAAGGAAAGAAAGCTATCGGTTGTAAGTGGGTGTACAAAGATCCAATGGTACTATTGAACGGTTTAAAGCACGGCTGGTTGTTCTTGGAAATTGGCAAATCGAAGGCAAAGATTATGGTGAAACCTTTGCCCCAGTAGCAAAGATGGGAACTGTAGCATCCGTATCCGAGAAAATACGGAATGATCGGATCGGATAATGTAATGTCCGAAGAATGACCGAGCCAAGGGTCAGATATTGGCGGGGAAATGGAGGTTCAGACTATGATCGGGTGATGACCGAGGGAATAGTCGGATGTGGGCTGGATAGCCGAGCCGGATGGACCATATCCGAGGGAAAATAGGGTCCAGTCTGTGGGAAATGGGATTTATCCCGGAGCAGTGGGATTTATCCGAGAGTCTGGGAGGTTAGTCCGAGTGTCAGTGGACTGTCTCTGAGGGAGAAAGGGAAACCTCCGAGAGAAATAGAGGATTAGCCGAGATAGGACAAGTTGTCCGAGAGAAATAGTAATATCCGGGTGAAAAAATGGAAAACACCTCAGATAAGGGCGGTTTATCCGAGTGGGAAGGGATTTGGGCCGTGGGCCAAGTGTTTGGTCGGCTATTTTGTGGTTTATCGAGGGAATGGTCAAGCCGGTACAGGAAATAGCCGAGAGAATCGAATCAGACCGGGATAAAACTTACTGGAACCAGGAAAATGTCAGATAAGTCCAGGTTATCTAGGGTTTTGCGAGTTTATAAGGGATTTTGAGACTTTTCTCGGGAAAGTTGTGTTTATTCGAGAGCAATAAAGCAAAGAAAGAGAATAGTCGAGAGAAAACCCTAAGAAAAATAGTTTATCCCGAGGACATCCGAGAGAGATCAGGTTATCGCCGAGCAGATCCGGCCATCGCCGAGATAATTTGGTAAGCGATCAGATATTTCCCTAAGTGTTGAGTTTTCATCGGATAACCTTGAGCTAATAGCCTTGTTTTGTAGGGTTTTCGAGGGAAAACAGAGTTTGGCTCGAAGAAAGGTGAACGGATCAAGAGATAGCCGAAGGGAAAGGGATTGGATCATACCGAGAGCCGAGAGATTCCTAGTGTGATCGGATATCTTCGTTTTGGTGCGGTTTTCATCGGGATTTCTTCTGGCCAATCTGTTTTCAGCCTTGTCTAAGGTGAGTGCGTGACTGTGGTTGGTGTCTAGGACCATAGGATTGCTAGGGTTGAATGTTTGCATCTTGATTGTGTGATTTTCATGTTATGTGTTTAGAACTGATAAGCAATTCTCATGTTATGATATATTATGGTGTTTACCGTGGCATAGATGATGTCTAGCTAACCTCAGGGTAATCCGGATCATGTACTAGCTTAGGGGATGTGGGATTCTCGCTGAAGTAGACATGGGTCTTAAAAAGGGATTGAACTTGGTTGGTTAAGTTAGATGATCATGGCCGTTTGATATTGTTATGTCTATTGCGAATTGATTGTGTTGAATGTTGAATCCAAAAGTATAATTACGTGTTTGGTACTGACCAGGTGTTACGGGATGACCGTACTCACTAAGTATTTATGAAATACTTATGCCTCTCTTCTTGAGTGTGTAGGTATTAAGCAGTAAAGGGGCGAGACCAGGCGGCAGTGATGGATATGGATGGATCGGGACTGGGTTTTATTTATGTTTAAGACATTGTGCTTTGTCTTATGGTTTTGGTGTTTGATCGTTAGGTTGCTAGATGATCAGTTGTAATCGTTAGCGAACCATTATGATTTGTTTAAGTTAACTCTGAATCTTGTTTAAGTGTTTTATGAAAGTTAAAGAATAAGATGATTTGTTTTATATTCCGCTGTGTATTGATAAGAAAGAATAAGAATAAAGAAAAAAGTTTAAAAATATGGCTAAGTATAGAAACGGACTTAGAGGATGTAGTGGGACACAGCCGCGGTACGGTTTACCGGATTGGATTACCACAGGAACAGTTCGTATGTTTTTGCGCACTGCAGCCGGAAGAGGTTGGGATGTTCATCAAATAGACGTTCATAATGCATTCCTACACGGGGATCTTCACGAAGAAGTGTACATGACATTACCCCACGGGTTCAATGTCAGTGATCCGACTAAGGTATGTCGTCTTCACAAATCGCTTTACGGATTGAAACAAGCACCTAGATGCTGGTTTGCAAAGCTGTCCACAGCACTTCTTGATTACGGGTTTCGACAGTCTCAATCTGACTACTCATTATTCACGTTTGATCGCAATGGGATACAATTACATGTTTTGGTATATGTTGATGATTTGATTATCTCTGGAAGCTCGTCCGCAGCTATGACAGAATTCAAAAGCTACTTGTCCTCGTGCTTTCATATGAAATTTCATATGAAAGACTTGGGAGTCCTAAAATATTTTTTGGGGATTGAGGTTGCATGGAATGCTACAGGATTTTATTTATCCCAACGGAAATACGCTTTGGACATTATCAATGAAACGGGTCTTTTGGGAGCAAAGCCTGCATCGTTTCCTTTGGAGCAAAATCACAAATTGGAATTATCTACATCAACATTCTTGCCTAATCCTCAACAATATCGAAGACTAATCGGTCGCCTGATCTACCTTGCTGTTACTAGACCAGACCTCACGTTTGCTGTTCACACTTTGGCCCAGTTCATGCAAAAACCACGAGAAGATCATTGGACAGCAGCCTTACGTGTCGTGCGATATCTTAAGAACACCCTGGACAAGGTATTCTCTTGCGCTCTGACAATGATTTTCAAATATCTGGTTGGTGTGACTCAGATTGGACGAGCTGTCCTCTCACAAGGCGATCAGTTACTGGTTACTTCGTCCAACTTGGCGACAGTCCCATTTCTTGGAAAACAAGAAAACAACCAATGGTTAGCAGATCATCAGCGGAGGCTGAGTACCGAGCCATGGCGTTTCTGACACAAGAGCTGGTCTGGCTCAAACGTTTACTTAAGGACTTCGGGATTTCACATGATCAACCAATGACCATGTATTGTGACAGCAAAGCTGCGATACATATAAGTAACAACCCAGTCTTCCACGAAAGAACGAAGTATATCGAGATAGACTGCCATTACGTCCATGACGAGATACAAGCTGGTACTATTGTCACTAAACACGTCTCTACTTATTCTCAGCTAGCCGACATATTCGCAAAAGCTTTAGGAAGCAATGACTTTCTCACGTTTCTTGACAAGCTGGGCATTAGAAACTTGTATGCTCCAACTTGAAGAGGGGTATTGAGATATCTTGTAATTACTCTGTTATCTTGTCAATCACCACTGATTGAGATCACTGATCTAGGCTTGATTAGCACACGTAATTAGGATCGCTTATCATAGGAAAGTAGATACTCCTATTTACGTTTCCTTGTGTATAAAGATGTAAGCTTTTCCCTTTGTGAAATATACAGAAAATCTCTCGATCCCTTCTTCTTCCTTCTCTGTTTTCATTAACACTCCATATTTATGACCAACCATCGATGCCTGTTTAAATCAAACCGTTATAACAATTACAAGTTGGAAAAGCATTACGGTAAGAGCTAAGCACTAGAGCTAAGCATTATGGGTTTTCAGGTTAGCATATACTGAGCATGTAAGCAAAAGCTTACCATTGTATCTCCAATGCCGAGGCTGAGAATTCCGGAGATAAAGCTCGGTCATTGAACCCGGAAGACATCCAAATTGGAAGCGCACACCCAAGCAACAGTGAGAAGTGGCTACAAGTATGAGTGAGAGAACAAATAAACAAAGAAACAAACAAAAGTGATAATTCCATATTGACATTTTTTCATCTGGTTGTCTTAAATAGTTTTGGCATATACCTAACAATCAGAAGCTCTGAGTCACGGTGATCCATGAAAGCATTCATGAATTGATGTAAAGGCTCTCCAAGCGGCTGAATTCTCCAGATCTAGTTTTACAAAAATGAGTATCGTTATGCATATAAGAAGTGATTAAACCGACAAGGTAAGTGAAAGCAGAGATAAGAACTTAGAGCGGAGATGAAATTTATGAAAAGTTTTTTTCTTTATTTTTCAGCTTAGCTTGATTACAAGAGTGATACATTATATTTATACATGTAGCACACTCGAAAACCCTAGCTAATTCATTCAGAGGATAAGGTCGCCAGCGTAGCAAAACGGTTCTGCGTTTCAATCTCTTGCTCTGTCGTACAATTTGTTTTTGCTGCAACCTCTTCTGCAATCGCTTTGGTTTTGTCTTCTTACTCTTTTGAAGAAGACCGTTGCTTCTTGGGTTCAGGACTGACCTTGGGCCTCCAAACGCATTGGAACTTTGTATCTGTTATAGAAACGGCGGCGTTTTGAGGAGCATTGTTAATATCCCCTCTCAAACTCGGGGTGGGAGGAGCTACTACACCGAGTTTGGATCGGAGTCGACAGAAAGGTGCAGCGGCGAGGGATTTCGTGAAAATGTCCGCAAGTTGAAGATGAGCCGGAACGTGCTTCACCACAAGAGACCCCAGCGCTACACGCTCCCGAACATAATGCCAATCTGTTTCGAAGTGTTTGGTCCTTTTATGGAAGGCAGGGTTAGCCGTGAGGAACACCGAAGACTGGTTATCACCATAGAGCTCAGGCGTGACTGGTAAAGAGATGCCAAGTTCACGCAGAAGGAGACTGATCCAAGTGATTTCCGAAGCAGTTTCAGACAAGGAATGATACTCTGCCTCGGTTGAGCTTTTTGAAATCGTAGGCTGCTTCTTTGAAGACCAGGAGATGAGATTCTGTCCAAGGAATGTGCAGAAACCACCGGTGGAACGCCGTGTAAGGGGACAGCCAGCCCAATCACTGTCACTGTAGGCTCGCAGAGTGCAGTCACTATCTTTGTTGAAGAGAATACCCATAGAAACAGTCCCTTTGATGTAGCGTAAAATTCGCTTGAGATTGTTGAAATCAGCCATTGACGGTTCATGCATCTTCTGACAGACATAGTTGACAGCGAATTGAATGTCAGGACGTGTGAGCGTGAGATACTGCAGTTTTCCTGCAAGACTACGGAAGTATGTAGGATTAGAGAAAGGAACATCTTGCGCTTGAACCTTGTTTAACTGCAGAGGCAGAGGGGTTGGCATCGGGGAACAATCAGACATAGATGCTATAGCAAGAAGATCCAATGCATATTGTTCTTGCGTAAGAAAGAGGCCATTATCTTGAAACTTAGCCTGAATTCCCAGAAAATAATGAAGCTGACCAAGATCCTTCATGCGAAATTGCATATTAAGCTCATCAAGAAGTCTTGCGAGGGCTGCAGAGTTGTTGCCAGTAATGGCCATGTCATCGACATAAAGCAATAACATGATCACATCTTTGTTCTGAGTATAGATGAAGAGCGAAGGATCCTTGATACCGTAAACAAAACCAAACTCAAGGAGAAAGGTACTGAATTTGTCATACCAGGCTCTCGGCGATTGCTTTAGACCGTAGAGAGACTTGTGTAAGTGACACACATGATTTGGCTTTGTCTTGTCCACAAATCCAGCAGGTTGCTTCATGTAGACCGTTTCTGTAAGCTCGCCATGAAGAAAGGCATTTTTAACATCCATTTGCTTGATCTCCCATCTCATAATCGTGGCTAAGTGAAGCACGGTTCGTACGGTTGCAGTTCGAACGACAGGGCTATAAGTTTCGAGATAGTCAATCCCCTCTTCCTGATTGAAACCCTGAGCCACCAGACGAGCTTTGAGCTTATCCAAGGTGCCGTCAGCATTCAGTTTAGTGCGGAAGACCCATTTACTGCCAAGAACATGCATGTCCGGTGAGTAAGGAACCAAAGACCAAGTGTTTGTTTCAGCACAATTTCCTATTTCTTCACCCATGGCATTGTTCCAACCCGGATGTTTAAGTGCTTCAGTGACTGTCTTGGGCTCAGGGATAGAGACTTTATGAGTGAGGAGAGCGTAGCATGGATTTGGCTTGACAATTCCTGACTGAGATCGTGTTTTCACCTTATGAGCTTGCACGGGAGCTGTATTTAATAGTGAAGACTGCTGCAATGACGCTCGAGATGGTGAACCTGACTCGCTTGCAGACGAGACACCATTATCACCTGTAGAAGCAGAATCAGTACCTGCAGTAGAAGGCATGCTCGGCTGAGATGAAGGGCTAGCAGACAAAGGTGGAAAGTCATGTTCAGAAAACAGAGGTGCAGCGATTGTTGCCTCCACTTGGGTGTATTGAGGAGGAGCAGGAGCAGAGGGCTGTTGCATCGGTCTAGAAGCTTCAGCCGAGGTGTTTGCCGGTGGTAAAGGGAGAAAGCTTTCCTGCCATGCTGCCAAACTCGGTGTTGTTGCTGTTCGATGGAAGCATTTATATTTGCTCTCAAAGGGAAAGCTATGCTCGTCAAACAGAGCATGTCGAGTGATATACACTTTGCCCGTAGGAGGATATAGACACCTGTAGCCTTTGTACTTCTCATTGTAGCCAAGGAAAACACAATGCAAGGAGCGAGGGTCGAACTTGTTTGCTGCATAATCTCTAAGAGTTGGAAAGCAGGAGCAGCCAAATGTGCGTAAGGCTGAGTAATCCGGTTATTTCTTGTACAGTACTTCATACGGACTGCATTTCTTGTCAAGAACAGAAGATGGAAGCAAGTTGCTTAAAAAGTTGGCAGTGTAGAAGGCTTCAACCCAATATTTTTGCGGTAGCTTGCCATGGAATAGCATAGTCAAACCCAACTCAGTAAGATGTCTATGTTTTCTCTCGGCTAAACCATTCTGCTGCGGCGTATATGGACAGGAAATATATTGTTGAATACCACTGTCTTGAAGATGCTTGATAAACTTGTTACTCATAAACTCTCCCCCACCATCACACTGAAAAACACTGATCTTGGATGACAATTGATTTTCGACAAGCTTCTGAAACAGCACGAATACAGTGAAGAAGTCTGATTTGGCTTTCAACGGGTATAACCATGAGAAAAGGGAGTAGTTGTCGATGAAGATAACATAATATTTGAATCCTTGATTTGACATTATTGGAGAAGGACCCCAGAGATCACAATGAACTCTCTCTAGAGGTCTAGAAGCAACAAAACTAGACAATGCAAACGGTAATCTACTACTCTTCCCCAGACGGTAAGACTCGCACATCTTCAGGGTACTTTTATTCAAATTGATAGACTTCTTCTGATGCAGGTGCTGCAGAACTTCAGAGTGAGGATGTCCAAGCCTCTGATGCCACACTTCATCACTTGTGGAGATCTGACGCGTGGAATAAAAGACTTGAAACTTCGGATCTTGTAGCAAATAGAGACCATCACGGGTTCTTCCTAGTGTCAGAAGCTGCTTTGTGTGTTTGTCCTTTACACGAACACCATCCGAGTCAAATTTAAAAGAGCAGGGATAGTCTGACGTCAACTTTGAAACAGATAATAGAGACTTGGCGATATCAGGGCAAACTAAAACATCTTTCAATGGAAGTGTACCTGAGGTGGAAGGGAGAACTGCAGAGCCAACATGCGTGATTGGTAGAAAGTTACCATCGCCGACCAGAACAGTGTCATTCCCGAGATAAGGCTGAGCTTGTGTAAGATGCTGTGTGGTGTTGGTGATGTGCGTTGTAGCCCCTGTATCGGGATACCATTCTTGGCCTGAACCATCTGAAACTTCAGTGATTCGCATTGCTGCCATTGCCTGAGAAAGCTCTTCGTCATGATAGCTATTGTTGAACCTATGCCAACAACGCAGTGCTTGATGTCCAGGCTTACCACATATTTGACACACCGGCCTTTCCTCATCTCCAACAGAGCCATTGTAGGAAGTAAGCTGTTGATGAAAACCTCGGCCCCGAGTTGAGTAAGAACCACGTCCCCTGGAGCCACGACCACGATTGTTCTGTTGACGATGCCCTCGGTTAGAGTAGTTGGAGTCGCCGGTGGACTGAGATGAGCGAGTTGTATGATAGGCGAGATGAGGCGTGACATCAGGGTCGGCAGAGTAACTCTGGAGTCTGTCATCAAAACCGGTGAGTCTGGGTACAACATCATCGAAAGTGGGAGGTGGAACCGAATCCATCAAGCCTTCAATGCTTGTTTTAATAGGTTCATATTCTCTTCCAAGACCTTGGAGAGCAGAGAAAATTTTCATTTTCTCTGTCACTGGATGTCCAACAGAGGAGAGGAGCGTGCAGAGGGATTTGACTTCCTTGAGATACTCCGACATAGATCTCGTACCTTTGGAGATAGTTTGAAGACGTCGTTGAAGTTGAAACAGTCGTGATGCAGAGCATCGGTTGAAGTGATTTGCGACGCAGAGCCAAACATCCTGAGAAGTATTGCAGTTCACGACGAGATCTAGGATATCATCAGAGAAGGAGCCACAAGCCATGATTTAACCACCTGGTCTGTTTTGAGCCATGGCTGGTAATCTGGATTTGGAGCTTCCGTATCTTGACCGTTGATACATGGGACAAGGATGAACGGTGGTGGACGAGGCATTGCACCGTTGATGAAACCGAGAAGGCCATGACCTGAGAGAAAGGACTCGAACTGAAACTTCCACCGGAGATAGGAACTCTCGGTGAGTGTGACAGTAACGGATGTAGTGATATTTAGAGACGGCAGCGTGTAAAGATCCAGAGCTCTGTTCTCCATGGCTCTGATACCATGAAAGCAGAGATAAGAACTTAGAGCGGAGATGAAATTTATGAAAAGTTTGTTTCTTTATTTTTCAGCTTAGCTTGATTACAAGAGTGATACATTATATTTATACATGTAGCACACTCGAAAACCCTAGCTAATTCATTCAGAGGATAAGGTCGCCAGCGTAGCAAAACGGTTCTGCGTTTCAATCTCTTGCTCTGTCGTACAATCTGTTTTTGCTGCAACCTCTTCTGCAATCACTTTGGTTTTGTCTTCTTGCTCTTTTGAAGAAGACCGTTGCTTCTTGGGTTCAGGACTGACATTGGGCCTCCAAACGCATTGGACCTTTGTATCTGTTATAGAAACGGCGGCATTTTGAGGAGCATTGTTAATAGTAAGCTATGTGACATACTGACATAAAAGAGGAGGGTTTACTCGAATGATCTCTAATGTAACGAAAACCGCCAATGCTACACCAAACGCTAGATCGAGAAACTTAGGCTGAAACAAAAGGACATGAGAATATTAAGAAAGCTATAAAGGAGCAAACTAACACACAACGGATTCTGTAAATCACCTGTAAAACTACAGCAGGCAAGAACATAAAAACAGCCATCAGATGGTAATACTTCCTGAGCAAGATTCTCTCAACCTTGCTACTCCTTGAGATGTCATAAAACCGTGAGACAGACACAGCGATCAATAGAAGCCAATAGACACATAATGAAAGTCTCTTCAGCGGTTCAGAAAAGACAAATGTGAGCACCCTGCAGATAGAGGAAGCATGAAAATTAGATACAATCTTTAATTACCGACACTGAAATAAGTAAATGATAGTTGAGATTTTAAGTACCATAAGAAGGGATGTTGGTGGAAATCGTGTACAAACTGCATCCATGAAGGAACAGCCACGACCATGAAATATACAAGTGTAACAAAGAATAAGACCATCTTTCTTTGTTGAGCATCTCTCATTCTCAAAGAGATTTGGTATATGTGCAGAATGGATCTAAACACCATCGGGAAAAGTAGAAGGCCTAACAGTAGACCCTGAGAAGGAGAATGGTAAAGTTTTGCTATCCAGTAATACAGTAAAGGTTATCCATTTTAATTTCTTGATTTTATTATCATCATACCTGGACTATTATGCCGGTTTCAGTTCTCGTTATTCCGTAGCTTATTGACACAAGATCCACATGTATCAGTTTCTCAAAAATTTGTAACAGTCGTCTTAAGCAATGCAGTAACCAATAATGCCATGACTTGTTCAAAGATTGGAAAAAGTGGAAGAATTCTAACCTTTGCAATAGTGAATGCCAAAAAGTCGCCAAAATAGAGAACAAGACCACTGGTCATGAGAAGTGCTTCTCCTACAAAAAGTGCCAATCGTTAAAGGTGAGATAAAAATACGCTGAACCAAAAAAAAGAGAAACGTTTTAATCAAATCCAAAGTTCCATAGAGGACAAAATCAATTTCATGACTGGTAATCAATTTCATGAATGCAAGACGTAGTTTTTGCAATTACCAATCGAGGCACAAGAAGGGAAGGTACAAAGCAAATGTCGAATTAACTTCACAGCTGCGAGACCATGACATAGCATCCACAACATTTTCAACGACGTGTTCAAGCCTGTGTGTGATATCATTGACAGTGAAACAAAGCATGCTGCTCCATACAAAATTGTGCAAGTTAAACTAACTCTTGTAAGCCAAACGGACGACAACGAAGACTCAATTCTCTTCACTTGCGACATAGTTACTGAGAGATATATGGAATTCACCTCCTCTTATGACACAAGGCCTCAAGACTTTCAGCTTGATGAAGGATGAGTGAAGGTAGAGATGAGGGTGAAAGGTTGCTGTTTGATTCCACAAGCAGCAGTTAGGCCAGAAAGGCTTGATTCCACAAGCAATGCTGAACTAGATGGATCGAAGTCACCACAGAGATTGTGAGGGGATCTCTGATACTGAACAGATTCAAACTTAGGTGAATCTACACACTAAGATTCAAATGAAGAACACAAAGAAAACACTTTGTAAGAGAAAACTTTAAAGTTTATTTGATTCAATGATAAAAGGTGATTTACAAAGAAAACGAAATTGAGATTTTATAGGCTCATATACAACGGTCCTAAGAAGTTAAAACAAGAAAAGAAACACAAAAATTAAAGAATATGGCCATTGGTGCTTTGATGACAAAATCTGGCCAAATAAGGAAGTGTCTTGAGCTTTGTATCTAGATACCTTGGGGATGACTTGTATCTTGAGAGCTGGATGATATATCCATGTAAGGAGAGCCTCTTGATGGTGAATAATCTCCCAAAGTCGTGCTTGTCCCGATTCAAGAAGAGAAAGAGCCGTTGGGTATTGGTTGCTCCAAGTGTGAATGCTTCCATATAAGGCAGGTAGGAAATCCACTGATTTAAAAGTTGAATAACTTTTAAACTAAAACTCCTTTTGGTATGCTTCCAATTCGTCGAGCTTCCCGGTTGAATCAAGAGTCCATACCAAGTCGTTTCATAGCTTAAATCCTCCTGGTTCGGTCGGAATCCTTCAATTAGCGCTCATATGTCCAAATCGGGAAAGTCTTGGTTCATCCGATTTGTAAAATTCATCTCTTAAACCAAATTGAATTTGTCCATGAATCCAATTCTCCGCGTGTCTATGATGAGTTTAGAATCCCATAAATTGGACTTGTGGCTTGGTTCATCCTGGTTTGGTCGGAACGATTTGATTGGTAGTCGGATGTCTCCATCAGGTCCATTGAAGATTTTCCAAATTGTATCTTCAATATTTTCTTCATATGAACTCCTTTTTAGCTGATTCTTCTTCGTGGGGAATTCTAGGTGAGTTGAGTATACTCACAAAGTGTTGTATGATTTTGAATCTTTGGGTTTAGCCTCCATTTGAGCTGAACTCAGCTCGCTGGTCTCCTTAGCTTTCCTCAGCTTCATGCACTCCTCTTCATGACCTCTGGTTCCGTGCTCATTAGCTGATGTTGACTTGATGTCCACATCAATAGCGCAGCAGCTTACTGATGCTGCCCAGTACTGCATCGTCACATGCGCAAGCTCTACACAACAACAGAGATTAAAGCATGTTTGTGAACATCAAATGTCAACAGTCATAAGAGAGTGTGAAAATACCATCTTGTTCGGCTTAATGGAGTGATGTAGCTCTTGTGAGCTGTACCAGCTTAGAGATCATAACAGCAGGAAGTGTTACTGCTCCCAGCAATATCCCTGAAGATGCACCTCGCCTTGCAGAACCATAGACCCAAAAAAACAACAAGATCTTTGAAATCTCATACAGTTTCGTGATTCTAATTATGATAAATTCGAATTGAAATTTTGTAGCTAATCAGGCTCTAATCTGAAATTCGGTAGCTAATCAATCAGGCTCTAAGCTGTAATCATCTCTTGGTGAATCAAAGTTATCCTGCTTTTGGGGCCGAAACTTGAAATTCATGATCGCCGATTTCTAATAGTAACAATCAATAATATATGAAGAAGGGGAAAGATCACCTGGAGCTGAAACGAGAGAGAAGAAACGGAGAAGTCTCCGCGCATAATTCCATGAGGAAAGCGGAGAGGGGGAGCAGGAAGAGAGAGAAGCCATGGGAGATGAGAGGCAGAGGGAGAGAGAGGATAACGTGAGAAACGACGACTGCCACTTGTTAGAGAAGGTTCTAGAGAACCATCAGATATATTCAGATATATATTTAGGATAATGATCATCTTAATTAGAGATAAAGATTGAATCTAGTTTAAGTTTATCTCTCTATTGTAAATGTCTATATAAGGCAGTTGCCTATGATTAATATAAATAACAAGTTCTCCTGAATACATTTATATTACTTTACATGGTATCAGAGCCTTCGATTTTAGAGGATCAAAAATAAAGTTTCTGCTTTATTAGTTTGTGATCTTTTGTTTGAAAACGATCATGGAAAGAAAATGTGAAGATGAGGACGAACCAAACGATGTGTTTGTGAATCTTTCATACACTTGTTTATTAAAAAAAAAAATTGTGTTTTCAAACTTTGTTTTGTTAACATAATTATTGAGATGTGTTCTCTTTGATTTCCTTTGGTGTTTTGGTTGCAACGTGATCTCATTATAGTTTCATTTGAAATGTGATCTTGTGACTGTTTTGTTTGAGATGTGATCTCGTGATTGTTTTGTTTGAGACATGGTTCTACAAAGTTTTGTAGTTACTTCGGTTGGAAACAATGTGTGTTTTCAAGTTTGTGTTGGGTTCAGTTGAAGAATTTAATATCCAAGTTGGATGTTAATGATTTTCATCCTACAACTTAAGGGGGAGGATTGGAGTAAGGTGCTGTTCAAGATTGGCTTATCATCACAAGGAAGATTCGGATTAGTTGACGGAGATGTTAACCAAGATTTTAGAAAGTATAAGTTTAATGATTTATAGTCCAAGTTGAATGTGTATAATTTACACAGTTCAATTTGAGGGGGAGTGTTAGAGAAGGTTCTAGAGAGTTCTAGAATCATAAGATATATTCACATATATATTTAGAATAATGATCATCTTAATTAGAGATAAAGATTGAATCTAGTTTAAGTTTATCTCTATATTGTAAATGTCTATATAAGGCAGTTGCCTATGATTAATATGAATAACAAGTTCTCCTGAATACATTTATATTACTTTACATGTTAAGTTACGTGGACTTCCAATTCAAAACTAATTGGCAATGAGTGGATTGGTTCAAGTCTTATATATACTAGTGTTGGTCCTTTTAAACTTCCGATGTGGGATTCAAACACGCCCCCTCGAGATGATGGCTCTTATCAGCCCATCTCGAGCTGAATCCCACTTTAAGATCAGTAATAAACCCCTTTTTTTGGGCTACCCTACTTGGGTTAACAAACGAGGCTCTACTACCATGTTAAGTTACGTGGACTTTCAATTCAAAACTAATTAGCAATGAGTGGATTGGTCCAAATCTTATATATACTAGTGTTGGTCCCTTTAAACTTCCAATGTAGGATTCCAACACCACTATTACTCTCTCTCCCGTCACTAACAGCGTCTTCGTTATCTCTGCCGTCGCCGTCACCATCGCCGTCCTTGCCGGTTATATCCACGCCGGCACAATATACATACAAGCATTTCTCGTTAGGCGCCATCGGAACCTTTAGACGTCAACAAACGCATTTTGGGCCCATAAACACGGTTTGGGACGGACTTTACGGTCACTCTACCTTTCACTTGGAAAAGTTTATTTGATCGGTCGGTTTCGTTTTAGTTTAGAGTTTAGATTAAAGAAAGGAAAAAATATGGCACACGGACGAGATAAAAGATTATATATATATTGTTAATATTTTTTTTGGTCGAAATCATATGTTATTAATCAGAATAGAGAGTATGAAGAAGCCAGTAAATCCAACATTTACAAAGATTATGTTGGCTAGCCAATCTAGCTAACTGGTGAGCCGCATTATTAAAAGTCCTATTGACAAATGTTGAATTATATTTATGAAACTTAGGCGAACCAAAACCTAATGTTGACTAAAATGTTAGAAATGACAAGTCTTGATCTTCACATTGTAGTAAATTAACAAGCGTTTGATAGTCGCCTTCAAAAGTTATATCTGTAAATGCAGGGGCCAACTATGTTTCAGTGCCATTAATAAAGATTTCCCTTGGACCTCTAAAAGTGTTGAACATTCTCTTATATGAGCAGACCCCCAGGAAGTGCAAGGATTAAAAGCAGGGTCATAGTTGTATTTCAAAGCACCATCGGACGGGCGTTGGCAGCTATGTTTAATGGGGGTTGGATGAGAAGATTTTTTTTTATATATAGTTAGGGAATGATGTTGACAAAAAGTAAAAAAAAAAAGTTAGGGAATGATCTGAGCTTTCAACATGCAACTAATAATCCCAGGGTGAATGTAGCCGTTAAATAGTGTACTCACTCGAATTTTTAATGGACCTAAAGCATTGTATCATTTCAGTCTTTCACCTTCGTTTCATCCAGATCAGGTTTCTTCTCTAAATCTGATTTCTACGAATGCAACCTTTGGAGATACACGATATTCTTTGTTAGAACTTCTTCATGTAAGTGTGTGTGTGTCTCTTTTGTCTTCTGAAATGGTATTTGAGTGAGTTCTATCTGATTTTATCGCTAATGTGTACGTTTCTATCGATCCGCTTGAGATCGTTTTCTATGAGTTACTGAGAAAAGTTTGAGACTCTACTGAAAACAAGAGGACAATGTAAGAAATAGCTTTACTTATCATGCATGATTGTCTTTCTATTGTTTGCTTTTGGTTAACTTTTTCTCTCCTGCAGAATCAGCGCTGGGGAAAGTCAAAGCCTGTGAGTTTGGAGCTATTGAATGTGTCTATAATCCATTACTATATAAACGGATAAGAAAAAATATGGCAAACAGACAAGATAAAGATTAAAAAAAGAGAAAATCACATTTTTAACTTTCACAACTATAAATGATGTAAGCATCAAGTTGCCTACAACTGAACCTGCCAAGAAGTGGAGCGAGCTAAATCGGATGGAGCAATGCTTGTAGCTGAGGAGCTTGGCTTTGTAGCTGATTATAAAGGAGTTAAGGACTTAAGATCAGTATGCCATCGTTCTGGAGAACCTCCGGATCAAACCAAGGCGTTGCTGGCCCATTGAAGCCTAACGGCTAGTAGAAGACCTTTTCATTATTCAGTTTGAATATAGTTTTCCTTTTAATAGTTTATGACCGTTATTTACATTATTTCCATAGCATTATATAAGCTCTTTTACTTTGTATTTTCACAATCAGAATATTCAAGAAATTAAAACCCCGTTTGTTTGTTTTCAAAGAAAATTCTTTGCAACTAAATTGTTCTTCTGATTTCTTTTTAAGTGTTTGTGGAATCAGCCTTGAAGATTTTCGTGTAGATTTTAATATTCTCGTGAGGATTAACTCTTGAGTACAAGAATCTAAGTCTTTTTGTGTTTGGGATTCAAAGCACAATCGGTTTATCAACTACTCAAACCATTCTTCCACCAACTTCAGCTTGAAGATCCGATTTCAAAGGAGCATCACTTGATGCATTTCGAGTCTTGTGTTATTGGTATCAGAGCTAAAATCTCTTATCTCAGGTGTATTCCTACCCTTATTTCAAGTTTTTTTAATTTTTCATTCAGTTTTTTTTTCAAGTTTTGTTTCTTATAAATAAATAAAAAAGTCATAAAAAGCTGTTTATTGTTCATCTGTCTTCTGTGAATTTTATAAAAAAATATTTAAAACCCACTAAAATATTTTTTTTTTTGTTTTTACTTTATTAAACTCTTAAAAACTACAAAAAAAATATTTCCTTTGATTAACCAAATCAGTTGCTAATTTTTAAAACAATTCTCTCTCAACTGGTTTAAAACTGCTTAAATCATTTGTTCTTGTCTTTTGCTTTCATTTAGAACATTTCTTTGATCTGTTTGGCTTGAATTTTGCAAGGTACCATGGGAGATATACCACCAGACGATCTTATGCAAGCAATGATGGCTGCAATTGCCAACTTAACTGAAAGCATCACTGCCCTTCGTAATGAAAGTAATGTCCGCTTTGAGCGCTTGGAAGGAGAAAGACCATCGCCTCTCTCGCCAAGAAGAAACGTCCCCAGAGTTCCTCTTGATGCAAATCATGTAGGAGACCCTCCTGATGTACCACCACCAGCTCCAGCACCAAATCTAGCACAAGCTGCTCAAGAAATCTTAAACAGAAGAAACAATGAGAGGAACAGGCCATATAATAAAGATAGACACTTACCACCCGAAGTGAAGCTTCTTGCACCAACCTTTGCTGGAAAGCTTGATCCTGCAGCTTATTTAGAATGTGAGAGAAGAATGGAGCACCTATTTGAGTACTATGCATATACAGAGCCCAAGAAGATTGCACTTGCAATAGCTAGTCTCACTGACCATGCTCTAGCTTGGTGGGGCAGAGAAGTAGCTGAGAATAGGAGGCTGAGATATCCTCAAATAACCAGATGGACTGACATGAAGTTTGAGCTAAACAGAAGGTATGTACCTCCACATCATCATAGTGGTTTATTAGAAAGGTTTATGTCTTTGTTTAAGGGTTCAAGGAGTGTAGAAGAATACTATGAAGAGCTTGATCTCTTGAGAAGCCATCTAGCCATAGAAGAAACAGAGGAGTCTCTTATGTCCCAGTTCATGGATGGTTTACAAGATAAAATTCAGAGAAAGATGGAGATGCAGCCTTATCATTACCTACAACAACTCTTGCGCTTAGCTGTTCAAAGGGAGAAGCAAATCAAGAAGAAAGCCTCTTCTAGAAATCGCTCTAGTAACAATGCAGCTTGGAATCCACAACAAGCTCAACAAACTCAGCCGCAGCAGCAGCCAAACCCCACGCCATTTGTAGATAAAGGAAAGGGGATAGCTATAGACTCACGATTCAAATCACATGGACAAGAGCAAGGTAAGTCTAGTAATTCAAATAGACATCATGACATTATTTGTTTTAAATGTCAAGGCAGGGGTCATGTGTCAAGGGAATGTCCAAACAAGAGGACAATGATACTTAGACCAGATGGTGGATATGATTCACAAGATGAAGACATGGCTGAAAACTCAGAAGAAGAACATATCACCTACGCTGAAGAAGGAGAGTTACTGGTCATTCAAAGAGCTTTAAACTCTCAGCCAGTT